CCGAGGCGATGTACCCGATCGAAGACAATGTTCTTCACAGTGTCCTCCGGCAGCTTCAGGTGGGTTTTGATGAAGCTTTTTACCGTGGTCTCCGCGTCCTCTCCAGCGGCTTCTGGAATACCAGAAAATACCAGATTATCACGCATGCTACGAGCTTGTAGATCGATAACTGTTTCTTTTATTTTTTTATTTTCTCTATTGAGCTGGGTAACATTATCTGTGAGACATTTCACCGACTCCCTTAGCGTGGCATTTTCAGCAGCAAGCGTTTCCACCTGCTGCTGGCTGTACTCCAGGGATTCTCGCAATGTTTTTAGATGTTAAAGAATTCAACAGAACTTGTGGTAAAATGCCAAATATAGAACTGAACCACATAGTGCCATTTTCTGTATGAAGCTGCTGGCTCTGTGGACATGAGGACGATCAGTTTGAGATATTCTCAGATATCTATTGTTTGCAGCACTGAACTGGTGTCCCTGACTTGACTGAAGACAGGCGGGATAGAGTTTTATCCTTAATGGGGACGATGTTCAGGAAACTGGAAGTGTCAGCAGGTGTTCTAAGGAGCTCGGAAAGAAAAGCATCTGGACGTCTTTCAGTTTCTTGAAGACGTTTCATCCGAGAAGCTTCTTCAGTTCTAAGAGCGACTGGTGGAGCGTCCCAGATTTTAAGCCCTATGGGACGTGTCCCCAAGAGGGTCGGGGACCCCCTATTGATCCTCTGCCTAATCACATGAGCAGTACTAGAAAAGTTACCATTCCTGGTGCAACTCTGTAAGCCTTAGTCTTCTGCAAGAACAACACATTTCACAGCTGTCTGTGGCTGTTTTATCATGTCATCAATACTTGCATGCAATGTGGCAGCTGTTGGAGAGATGTGATATAAAACTCTACAGAAAGATCCACAGTAAACACTGGAGTGGAGTTTGAATCTGATGCTGAAGAAGATGAGGAGCAAGACGGTGCACTGAAGTGTTCACACTGTGTACATTTCTCTGTCTCGCTCACCTTCCTGTGAACTCATCAAAATCATGCAGAGCAACAAAAACTGCAACCTGGGGCAGTCCTTATTAAGGGTTACTTACTGTGGACCACATCTCAGAGTGTTCATATTTAATATCGCTGGTGCTGTGATTCTTATATTTACATAACACAATAATATCAGCTGGACAGGAAATGTTTGAAAGGCTGCCTGAATCATTAAGAAGGGTCTGATGTGATCAGCACCTGGATGTGAGCTGATTGTCAGCAACGTTTCCTTCACTTTGTCTGGAGTCAGTCTTGGCTGTTGGATCATAGAGAGTGATGGATTCAGGATTTGCTGATTGGGCATTTTGTGACAGAGAAAAGTTGTTTCATTTATTATGTATCATGTATTTATTTTATTACAAAACTTTACAAGTAAAGATAATCTCATTTTTATGTCCTTTCTCAGAGGAAAACACTGTGGACAAACATCTGTCTGCACAGATGCAGAAAGTAAGTAGAACCAAATGATTCTGTCCTCACACCACAGCTTCACTTAATTCATTACTTATACCTGTTATTAAAAATGATCACGTGTGATGGTTTTGTTTACTTATTAATCAGTTATCCTCTAAGAAGGTTATTATTAAATCACTTTGTTTGTTCTCAGGCATTAACAGTCCACTCAGACAGAGAGAAGCTTTTGGAAATGTTGGAAGATCTGAAAAAGGAGGAGCTTGAAAAGTTCAAGTGGTTCCTGCGGGACCGTGATGTTTTGGTGGAGCTCCAACCCATCCCAGAGAGCAAACTGGAGAAGGCCAGCACCTGTGACCTGGTGGACCTGGTGGTGCAGACCTACACAGAAAAGTCTGTGGAGGTGACCAAGAAGGTTTTTAGGAAAATTAACAGAAATGATCTGGTGCAGAAGTTATCAGACAGCAGCTCATGATGCAAAGGTAACAATCAAAATGGCATCATTGATTTTATGAATATTTTACTTAATCCAAAATACTTTTGTATAGTTAGATTTGTAGCTTCTGAATTTATTTTCAGTGCACTACATGATTGTAGTATGGAAAGTAGCAGAGAGTCTGACTGACTGTCCAACTGACTCTGACATGAGGGAGAGTTTATAATGTAGGAGCAGATTTGAGGTTAAAATACAGGAAATAACATCGATTTGAAAATTACTGTACTGTGTGTGTGTGTGTGTGTGTGTGTGTGTGTGTGTGTGTGTGTGTGTGTGTGTGTGTGTGTGTGTGTGTGTGTGTGTGTGTGTTCGTGTTCGTGTTCTTAGGTTGATGCAAACATGAGGATGAGATCAAGATTTTCGAAGCATTTTTTTATTTTAATATTTAATCTTTTCATTGTATTTTAACTTTCTCTTTTTAATTTTCTCTTATCATGTTTTTATTTTCTGCAGAATTATTACAGGTTTAAACGTGTAGAAATGATCTGACAGTGATTTCATTTCCTTCTTTCATAGAAACACATTCTGTTTGTTTCTAGCAGCGCAGTTTGTAAAAAGACGGCATTTGTTGTGCTTTTCTTTGTTTTCATTTATACACTTTCAAATTTACGATAATGAGATCATCATGTTTACAGATACTCACTGTGAGACAAACACTCAGGTTTATGTGGTTTTTTTAACTTCTGTAATGTGTGATGTCATTGAGGGGCGATATCCTAATACTGCTGATCTCCAGTTCTGGTCCTTATCACAGAAGCTCCACCCACTTGTCCCTCAAACCTTCTGTTTGTGGGAAACAGCCAATAAGAACAAAGTTGCCTTAAAGGGAGAGGAGTAAAAAAGAAGCTTGTTTCAGAGAGGATGAGGCGCTACAACCAAACCAAGTATAAGAAAAATGAGGATGATTTTGAACTGTGACTCAGACAAAGCTACTCGAGTACAGTCCAAAATTAAAAATATTAACCTGAAAATGAGCATTATATGTATAATTACATACAAAAATATCATGAACAGCTTTATGATTCTCATTTTGTTGAAGACGATAAATCCATATCACAGTATAAATGTGCCACATAAAGAAAAGTCTTCCAGAATAATTTTACATTAACACCATATGAACTCTGTTATCTTCTGTCTTTTGTTCTTGTGGTCGATGCTCAGTCTGGTTTGGAGTGAAGCCTGAATGAGAAAAGTTTCCAAGGTTAGAAGTTACTGAGGAACATCATGACCTGCATCTGTTACTGCCATGTTTCTCACATTTTAAGAAGTTTTGACGACTGCTTTGAAGATAAACTGGAGAATTTTATACTTTTAATCTTTAATATCCTGCTTTAATCATTGTTTTGTGTTTTTTAATTCCCTTTTAAGCACGTCACTAAACATTTTATATTGGCTTTCTACTAAATATAGAAACATAAATACAATTGTTCTTTATCAATAAAATATTTTTTCGGATACATCAGGGAGCAACATTGGTGTCTATTAACTATTTGCTGTCAGAAACTCGTTCAATTTTTAACATTTTAAAATCTGTAAAAACACGTCTTTCATGTTTATACGGTGAAACTTTTGCTGGAATGAAGCGGCCTAAAAACAATGAAACAATGTACAATGAAGATCACTCAGTAAGATGATTGCTGTGCTTTTGTATTTTAAGAGATGAGATGTTCAGGTCAGTCTTTATTTTCCTACAGGATCATTTTGTTTTGCAGCATCAGTCAGTCAAACTGAAATATCACAAAATGAGAAAGATCAACACATAAATAACAGTAAGAATGAGGAATAGTTAAATGAATGACTAAAAGTACATTAAAATGATGGAAGCAGTCAATAAGAAACGTTACAAACATCAGAAATGTCAGACCGGGATCGGACGGCTTTATTTACACAGAACTGGATGTTTCCTGACTCTGAGGACTTTATTCGTCTAAGGAAGAAACTCAGACTGTTCCTAAATGTGTCCTTATATTTTGACTTGTACGTACAAATTTTTATATGGTGTAATTGCTATTAAAGACTCCTTTTTACCCTTGTTTTCTGGTTCGTTGGTTCATTTAAACTCCAGCCTTTCTGGAGCGTTCAGTTCTACAAAGGCTGATCAGCGTCGACTCATCAACTCCATTTTAATCCAGCAGCACGAAGAACAAGTGTCAGTGAGGTTTATCTTAATCATTTAACCCAGTTTACATTTTCCACCCATCCATTATCCTTATTAGCCTATCCCAGCTACCACAGGGCGAGAGGCGGGGTACACCCTGGACGGCAGTCTACTACAGAGAGACAGACAACCATTCACACCTATGGGCAGGTTAGAATCACCAGTTAACTAAACCACACTAACTGCATGTCTTTGGACTGTGGGAGGAAGCTGAAGTACTCGGAGAGAACCCAACAAACACAGAGAGAACATACAGACTCCACGCAGAAAGGTCTGGTGGTGGAGTCGAACCCCGGACAGTGGTAACCCCCCCGTTTTGTCCTTAATAGATAATACTTTATTAATCCTGAAGGAAATTATGGAAACCTGTAACCTTAGCAAGTTTTATAGTTTACCTTTAAAAGACAAACTGAATTATTCAGCTGTAACTTCATAGGAACAAAATGCAGGTGGAAATAACTGACGATATGAAAATGTAACCTGTGATGTGTGATGTTGGACATCTTTCATTCAAAGGTTGCTCAAAATCATTTAAAGACTATATTTAAACATGTGACGCTAATTTCAACATGAAGGAGCAAACATCCATGTAGTTGTGTAGATACGTGTCAGGATCTGCTGTGTCACCATCGCTGGCCCTGCACCTCCTGCATAAGAAGTGACAGGCTGCTTCAGTCCTGCAGGTACAAAATGACTTTTTCATTTTCCAGGTGGTAACTATGACGACTGAGAAGCTGCTCACTTGGATGAATTCAAGTCACTGATTGAATAGCAGAAAGATTCACTCCTCATCTCAAGTAGCAAACTGAAAGCAGCAAACACTCAGGATGTAGTGAATGTGATGATGGAGAAGTACAGCCGAGAGTGTGTGGAGGTGACCAGAAAGGCTTTAATGAAGATGAGCAGAATCTGGTGCAGAGATTATCAGGTATCACCTCAGGAACCAAATAAAGTCAAAAACAAATAAATATGTAAAAAACGGACACATGGAGAGGATGGAGAGCAGACAATACATGCCTGCAGGTCCTCTGATGGACGTCACAGTCACTGCTGGGAAGTTAAATGAAGTTCACCTGCCACACTGGATCTGCATCGGTAAGAGGACATGAAGGCATTATTATTTAACAATAAATTACATTTATGATTCAAGTTTTCTTGTGCAGATGACGTCCCTGACATATTGGACAAGTTTGCAGTCCTTCACATAGATGACTGTGGAGATGTTGTGGAAAAAGTGTCTGATTTTCTCTCCAAGAGCGCTCCTGATGAAAGTGGGCGTTCCTGTGGAAATCAACTGTAACGTGTTGATATATCAGACCAACACAGCTTTCCTCACACTGCATGTTTATCTGATCCCACGTGATCCTGGGCTACAGCAGGTTATTACATGTTTCACAGTATAAGATGGACAATGTGCAACAAATAAATCAGCAGACAGTAATATTACAATATTGGATCCCTGTAGCATCTTTACACACACACATATAAACATATATATTCTCTCGCTCTGTAGACGATGGACCGGAGAGAAGAATCCTGTGGATACAAAATCATCCGAAAGCCGCATCCAGAAAAGTCCTTGAAAATGTTTAATTGTTTCACCCTAAGAGCAGATTTGGATGGTGCAGAAATCTGTCCTCAGGTATGTTGAATTTATTTACTGCTCATTTGATCCCAAAACAATTTATAAAGCTTCGAAATAAGTCAGATATAAAATAAACACCTGTTCATGGTGAAGTATGTAACTGATGTATTCTCACCATGAAGTAAACTCTCCTGCTGTCTGACCATTAGCTCCAACATGTGTTGACACTGAGCAGTGAGTTGTTGTCTTTGCACCAAACTGCACAGCTGTGCACGGCTGATCTCCTCCAACAGAGTGATGATGGTGGTGTTGTCCTCTAACTTCATGAAGATATTCTCTCCATGTCTGTGAGTGCAGTCATGGCTGTTCAACATGAACAGGAGGGTGCTGAGTGCATGACCCTGGGGGGCTCCAGTGTGGCCCTAGAGGGGAGGAGCTGTGATTACCAGTCTGAACAGCAGCCTGTTTGACAGGAAGTCCAGTATCCAGTTGCACAATGTGTTCCTGAAGACCAGAGTGACGAGTCTGCCAGTCAGCTTCACAAACAGCCTGCTGAGAGAGAGTTTGTTATATTTCACATGTATGAAGAGAGAGTGCAGGGCAGTGAAGACGACATCATCTGTGGCTGTATTCAGCTAGACGACAGTGCTGAGCAAAGATCGAGTGGGAGGTGTCGCGCTGACCTAGTAGGTGTGGCTGTTATTCCTCTCTTCCTCCTCCTGCTCTACCTGTTCGGTGCTGCTGCTTGTGCATGGCCACTGTTTAGACCTTGGGTGCAATCAACAACTAAGCGCGGCCTGGTGTGCGCCGCCCTGCCAGGTGAGCCACATTAGAGCAATCAAGGGTGGGCGTGCCTAGTATACCTTAAAATGCATGCAGCAGTCATTTGACCCGTATGCAACATACTGAGAGGACAGCAAACAAAGTACGATCCACTTTTCCACTGTGAGGAAGACTTTGAACAAGACGGGCTATCGGTAAGCTCTTGAGCTCACATTTGCTGCACATATATTTGGAACTATGGAAGCTCAGTTGTGCAAATGTTTTATGCTTAGGGAAACAGTTGCTGCATTTAAGTTTAAAGAAATTATATTGACAAAAAAGAATGCTTAAGTTTGAATAAATTGTTTGTGCAGTTAGTGTTCCCACATATTTATGTTACTTAATATTAAAAATAGTTACCCCCAAATCCTTGGGTGGATTGTAAAACTAGTGAATAAATGTTTGATTTTGATTTAAAGAAAATAATTCTTTGTAAAGAAAATCCTTAAAGTCTCTATTAAAATGTTTGTAAACTCTAAAATGTATACTTTAAAATACAATTGTTTATAAAAGTGTTAAATGCAAAGAAGACACATTTTGTATATTTAAGAACCACAGTTAAATTAACAGTTAACCACATGGTAAATGGCTTTACTGAAGTGTATTTTGTTATTTCATCTGTCTTCTGTGTAATTTATCTGAATGGTTAATGAAATGTTCTTTATTTTTGTGTTGAAAGGTTTTTTACCTGCTGCTACCTACCTATCTACCTGGTCAAAATAAAGTTGAGTGAAATTCAAAGTCCTGGTCTTTTTCAAGTGTGGGCACCTCACAGTCAGAGAACACTTGACAGTTATTATTAAAGCTAACGCCTACTGGTAGATCAGCCCAGTAAATACTGTGTTTCTGTGTTTCCACTGGTTCATTTTTTCACTTTCAGATGAAAACCAAAGAAGTGGTAAAGTACAAGGTTAGATGTTTCACATGATTTGTGTATAAAAAGAACTGCACTTTGTGTTTGGCTGTGGTGGGTTCCCTTTGGTATGACAACATTAGTGCTGAATATTGGCATCCAACAATCAGACGGTGTCAGAGAGGGGAAGAAAGAAACAGACTCAGGCAGAGGCAGACTGTTTGACTGGTTTGAGGGTGAAGAGGGGAAAAAAGCAGAAAGATACAGAGTTAGATTTGATTATGTAAAAAGAAACGCAACAATGAATCAGTCTTTAATGTTTAACACATCAGTGAGTTCTGTTTGGAAATAAGTAACAGAGGATGTAAGCTATGCATGGATTTAGTCTTTGATTATCAACATATGTGATGAATCTCTGCAATCTTTCCTCAGAAAACCACTTTGTGGATAAACACAGAGTGGAGCTGATCCAGAGAGTGAGCAACATCGAGCCGATTCTGGATGAGCTCCTGAAAGGAAAAAGTTATCCAGCAGGAAAGTTATGACAGAATCAGAGCTCTGCAGACCTCTCAGGAAAAGATGAGGGAACTCTACAGCGGTCCCCTGAAAGCTGGCAGTGCCTCCAAAGATGTCTTCTACCAAATCCTTCAGACACACGAGAGACTCCTTCTTAATGACCTCTGCTGAAAGGACGTTTGCTGAAATCCATTTTGTTCTACAGTGAAAGTATTTACAAAAAGGAAATGCTGCCATTATGTTTCTGTGTTTCTGATGTAAACATAAGAAATATCAGACTCTTTGTTTTATGCTTTAATATCATAGTGGGCAGATTTATAACACTGGTTATAATTTGGACCTGGTGACATCATACAGGCTACGAATGTTTACTCTGTTGTTAATAATTACAGGTGCTGGTTGCTGCACATCAGGGGGCCAAAACTCAAGGCACACTTTAGGTCGTGGGCCAAACAAGATAAACATTTATTGAACACACTAAAACATGTTTTTTAAATATGAATAAAAACAGACAGGAATATTATTCCAGGATAAATGCACTTAAAAAAAATAAACTTTAACTTTTTATTTTATTTATTTTATATTTTGCTCTCCATAAAAATATATCCTGTCAAAATTATGCAAATTAGAAATATGAACATGCTGCCAAAAAACCCAGAAAAAATAAATGAAAGCAAACACAAGGTTGGAGCCGCATGTAGACGAGCAAAGTGCGCCGACTTTGTTCAACATTACTCGGCAACAGGGAAAGTGAGGCAGGTTGCACTGGTGCATTTGTGACAGCTTCACTTGAAATGCCTCCACCGCATCATACATGCCATGAACTGACAGGTTTCCTTGCTGAGCTCAAAAACTCAGAGAACTTTTATCCCAACTCAGCCAGCGGACCTCTGTATGATGAGGAATGTTAACAAACTCTGAATCTATTTCCCACATAAAAGACTGAAATTGACGCTGATTTAAACCTTTAGCTCAGATCAAATTTACGGTCTGTGTTACGGTGATCATTACATGCTCCATTTTTAGGACTTTACCACACAGCCTTTCCTGGTGTGTGATGCAGTGATATGCTGTTAACTCACCGTACAGTTCTCCTGCATCTTTACTAGATCCTACATCCTGCACAACACCAGCGCTCCATCTGTTGTCCCAGGGCAGTTTCATGTCGGTTACACTTTGAAATACCTTTTCAAACATGTCTTTTCCTGTCGTTGTCCCGTGCATTGATTTAATGTTCAATATTTACACTCTACGGATGAAGATGGTCAGCTGTGCAATGTCCATCATGTCTGTACTTTCATCCACAGCAAGAGAGTATGCAATGAAGTTTTTGCTTCTTTCACACAACTGTGTTCTTAAATCAGTGGCCATCTCACCAACCCGATCAGCAATCGTATTTCTGCTCAGGCTCACATTTGCCAAGATCTGCGTTTTGTCTGGACACAAGACGTTGCACAGCTTCATCATGCAGCTCTTCAGAAACTCTCCCTCGGTAAATGGCCGGACTGATTTGGCTCCTCTGCTACAATAGAACTTGCTTTCACAACAGCTTCAGTTTGTGGCTTTGCTCTGGTGGATGATTGTGGTTTGGGTTTCAGTTTGTACTTCTAGCTCTTCTGTTCTCCTTGGATTGAGAGTTCTACTGCTTAGGTTTGGGTCCCTGTACCCCCATGTTCTGTGTAGTTTACTTCTGTCCTCCTGTTTGCCTTCTCGTTCCCCAGTCAGTAGTGTCTCATGTTGCTCTTGTCCCTGTACTCAGTGTTCCCTCTGTTCAGTGTCTAGTCTGGGTCTCTGTGTCTGTCGTGTACTTCCTGTTTTACTTTGACAGTCTCTCGTCAGTGTACGTCATGTTGTGTTTGCTCTTTCCCTGTCTCATTGTTACTATTAGTGTCAGCTGTGTTCCCTGTGTGCTCCTACGTCCCTCGTTAGCTTTCTGTGTATTTATGTGCATGTCTCCCTCAGTCCAGTGTTGCGTCGTCAATGTCTTCTCCCCGAACCTGTGTGTCTTTCTGTGTTCCCACGGTCTTCTGTTAGTATTCCCAGTTTAGTTCTGTTCCTTTGTGAAACCTGCAAAAAAGCAGTGATTTTGAGTTCAGTTCCTGCCTCTGTGAGTTTTGCATTTGGGTCCTCATCTGCCTCCACACAGCCGGTTCATGACACTTTTACACTCACAGCGTAGGAAGGAGCGCTACTGTAGGTCATTCTCAGCAGGTTATCTTACTCATCAGCTTGTTTGTTCACTGTGCATTTCACCAGAATCTCACACACACACACACACACACACACACACACACACACACACACACACACACACATTCTTGTACATTTCTCTGTACACTTTTATACATATTTCTGTTCATTGTTACCTGTATATACGAACTTCAGTTGCTCATATATATATATGAGCTGTGTAACACCCAAATTTCTAATTCATGGGAAAATAATGGTCTATTCTATTCTATTCTGTTCTATTCTATTCTATTCTATTCTATTCTATTTTATTCTGTTATCAGTCACACCTATTGTGGCAGCCTATCTCTCAATCGGCCCCAGGGGAAGAAATGACTTGGAAAGGCTGCAACAACCTATTAGAGCTATTTGGACTAATATAGATTAATACTCATATTTATACCTTTTTTGTATGTCCACAGTTTCGATTTTAATTGCAACAGATTTGAGTAAATCCACTTGGCAGGAGCAAAGAAAAAGTGAAAAACTAAAATAATGTAAAAAGAATAATCAAATCACATCAATTGTAATTAATAGTTTACGTTTAATTTTAGTTATTAACTTAATTAACGCACTCCAAGCTAATGCTGATTATGTTCTTATCTTTGGGGGAGAGGTTGGTGGTGAGAGAGGCACTTCCAGCATGAAGATGTGTTCCACCTTCATGGAAACAATCTGAAACGCAGGATTCCTTCATAGATCCCATATCTTCTCAAAGCTACATAATCCACAGGGAAAACCCTGGGAGTCTTGAGAAGCTGCGTTTTATTTGCTCGCTATGTAACCCACAAATATGAGTATTTGCACGACCTCCATAAAGGGAACAAGTAGCTTTGAGAAGAACAGACTGTACGCAGTGAAGGAAGCCACCTGGCGGGACAAGATACTGACATCATCCTGGGAGGGCTGCACTCACATCATATAACCACTCACACTGTATAACCACGCTTGCACAACACACTTTCTAACCATATATAGTAATTTGTCTTAGTTAATACAGCAACGAGCTTTATGAATAGTCATGTGTGTAAACAATAAAAACGACCTGCAGGGGGAAGCAAGTTGAAGTGGGTTGGAGATCAACTGCTTCCCTCTCGCGAGTGAAAACTTGAGCTGTGTGTGACCTCGTTCCTGAGTGAGTTTCTGTTTATCCAGCAGTATCAGGGGTAAAACTCTGACAGCGCTCTTCTGGACAGAGATCTCTAATGTTTTCCTGGGATCTGCTGGAGCCACTATGCCACCTGGGTGACGTCCCAGCTGGTATGGCTTCATATTTATGTCTCTCACTCCAAGTGGGAGAGGCAGCCTGGGACCCTCATTGGACAGAAACGCCCCGGTGTGGAGTCGACTCCCGTCACGTTCAAAGACATGTAGTGTATATTTATATATGTGTGTGAGTATATATACACACACATAAAAGTGATCAGAGTATCCTGTGTGTGCTCTCATTCACAAAGTTAGGCCTCTCTCTAAAATCATTATTAACGAGTTAACGAGGTTTAAGTGTCACTTTGATGTGAAATCTTTCATGTTCTAAATCCTCATAAAGCCTGATGATAAAACAGTTTCTAATCTGACTTTTTCTCTTTCTTTTCTCCTCAGACAAACAGTTTCCTCCACTGAGCCAGAGAGTGAGTAACGTCACATCAGTCGACTTCACACAGTTCAGCTTTGATTCAGTAGATGAAGACTGAAAATGATCTTCATCTTAAACACAAATCATACACATGAGATTCAAGCTGCAGCTTTGTCATGTACACATGAGTTTTATACATGATTGGTATAGAAATATTAAACCTTATTTACATTTTAAAAGCAGATTAAATTCAAGTCTTTCTGTTTATCAGTAAAGATGCGAGCAGTTAAAGCTCCCCTCTGTTTGTAAAATCAGGAGACTCACTGCAGTTTTTGTAGCTCAGTCTTTGACAGAGTTACAGTCAGGCAGTAAAACAGAGTCACAAACCTGTTCATGAAAATTAAATCCTTCAAAAAGAGGAAAAAATGAGCCAAGAAATAAAAACCAATCCAAGCAGGTACCCACCGAGCACCAGATGTTCATGGAGGTTATTTTCTGCTCTACATCTGGTCGACCGGTCATGACCTTAAAAAGACGCAGCTTTATGTCTGAAGGTCAAAGGTCATCTTTTCAGGTTTTTAGAAGGAATTGGATTCAAACATGAATTTATTTTTAGCACACTAAAATGTTTCTGTTGATTAAAAATCAAGCAGACATTTGAATGGTGCATCGCTGTCATGTGACCTCTGTTTTTACCAGGTGGAAACGATGGAGTCTCTTATTGAGCTGCTTTTGGAGACACTGGCTGATCTGAGAGGCAGCGAGCTCAGAGACTTCATCCAGATCCTGGGAATAAAACTTGGCTCAATGAGCTCCATGAGTCTGTCTGCGATGTCAGACCTGCAGGACGTGCAGGACGTGGTGTTTTTGATGGTGAGGACTTTTGGCCAACAGTCAGTGGAGAAGATCGTGGAGGTTTTAAAGGAGATGGAGAGGACTGATCTGGCTCAGAGGCTGACAGACAGCAGCTCAGAAGCTCAAAGTAAGATAAAGACAAAACATGTTAAAATGATAAAAGTGTTTCTGCTTCAGTTCATATTAGAAACAGTCAGATTTACAGAGCAAAGAGAGCATTGTTGACGAGCAGAAAATGATGTTCAGCAGGTTTAAATGTAACTTTTTTTTGATCTCTGTGTATTTTTTTAAAGCTCGATTAGCTTTTATTAAACACTTATTTCTATTTCTGTTAATTTCTCTTTTTCAGACAAACATCTGGATGAACATCTGTCTGCACTGATCCATAAAGTGAGTAACGTCTCATCTGTCTGACTCTGCAGAGTTCAGCTTTGATTCAATAAGATGCAGTTTGAAAATCATAATTTCATCATTTAGATTAAACAGTTGTCACAGAAATGTTTTTAGATTTAAAATCAAACATTATTAAAAAGTGTGTTTACATAAATACATCTTAATAAATAAGATAATAAAAGAAAACAAAGTGTTTCAGAGAAAACATTGAAAACATTCAAAGTTTAAAACAGCTACAAAAACATAAATCTGTAATTTTCTCAGTGAGGAAACATTTTTTCTTTATGAATGTTTGCTTTGAATGTTCCAGGTTGCAACAATGGCAGCTGTTACAGATGTGCTTCTAGAAACACTGGAGGATTTGAGTGATCAGGATCTCAAGCAGTTCAGGAGGTTACTGCAGTTCACTCTGTTTCAGAAGAGTCTTCCACAAATCGAACTGAGTGTTGACAGAAGAGGAATAGTGAATGAGATGATTGATAAACTTGGTCATCAGTCTGTGGAGGTGATCAGGGAGGTTTTAACAGACATGCAGAGAACTGATCTGGTGCAGAGGCTGTCAGAGAGCAGCTCAGGACTCAAAGGTAAGAGGAAATAATCTGTCAGAGTGTCTGTAATAACTTTAATACATTTTATTTATTCATTAAAGTTTATTTAACCAGGAAAAAATAAACTTGTGACATTAAAAATCTGTTTTACAAGAGTGTCCTGGCCAAGAAGGACAGCTGTACAATAATCATAAGCTGCATAAATTAATAGACAAATCCATACATCAGATATGGTGTGATTATTCTTAACTGTGTGTGGAAGGATTTTAAAGTACTTCCACACTATTTTAATCGCCCCTATTTTAATTTGGGGCGACCGTGGCTCAGGGAAGCGTTGGGAAGCATATCTGTAACCTGTAGCCGGTTCGATCCCCGGGCTCTCTGTCCTGGTCGTTGTGTCCTTGGGCAAGAAACTTCACCTACCACCTACTGGTGTTGGCCAGAGGGGGCGATGGCGCGATATGGCAGCCTGGCTTCTGTCAGTCTGCCCCAGGGCAGCTGTGGCTACAACTGTAGCTGCCTCCACCAGTGTGTGAATGTGAGAGTGAATGAATAGTGGAATTGTAAAGCGCTTTGGGTGCCTAGAAAAACGCTATATAAATGCAATCCATTATTATTATTAAATATAATATTACACCTTACAGTAAAAATTAATTTAAAGAATTAAATCAGAGAAACTCACAACAAGAACTGCATAATATAAACTTTATTATCATTTATAAATGAAAGAATTTGTTTCCTCTGATTTATTTTGGACAGACGTTGATAAATGAACACATTCAGGTTGTACAAACACAGTAAAATTAAACAGATTTGTTTTCATATTTCAATGTTTAAAGTAAAAATATTCAGCTTATTGAATCAGTGACTTTCTTTAGTAAATGTTGTTTTAAAGCTCTTTGAACTTCTTTCCTTTGAAAATATTTTTCTTTGTTTTTTGCATTTTGAGCTCATTAATATCAGTCTTGTGTTGTAAATGGATCTTTATGTTAGCTTTGATTGAAACTCCACTATGGAGACAGACGACCTGTATGAGGTAAATGATTCAAAGTCTTTTCAGTGATTTCTCTGTGATTGTGTAACTATGGCCTCCTCCTGCCTTCAGTCAGCACAGCTGAAAGTGAAATATTAAAGCTTTTTATTGTCAGGACTCAGTGTTATACTCAGGATGAGCACACATAAAGGACACACACAGTGTCTGTGTCATGTAGTTACAGTTTGTATTCAATGTGTTGCAGCTGCAGGATCATCAGCTGAAGGATTTGATGTGGAGGAAACAGAGAAAGGTCAGTGTCCAGAAAACACATGAATCAATAAATACACTCATTGATATGAAGATGAAGAAGATGAAGAAGAAGAATTACTGAATGAAACAGAACTGGATCATTTCCTCACACGTTGATAGTTTCCCATCAAATATGACTTCATGTTAACAAGTTTAATGTTGTTATTAATCCAACTTACAAGGATCATCAGAATGAAATCAAAGCATCAGTTATTTCAAAGTGTCTGATTATTAACACTGATGTTAAATCAGTCATGAATGAAGCTTTTAATCTTTCTTTTCTGTCAGAGAAACACTCTGAGGATGAACGTTGGCCTGCACTGATCCACAAAGTGAGTCATGTCACATCTGTCTGACTTCAGATCATCCAGCTTTCATTTCATAAACACAGGATAGAAATCTTCAATAGAAACAAAGGATTTGATTTTGATTGGAAAAGTCAAAGTTTGATAAGTTGAGCGTGTGCAGTGAGGGAGGTCTGCAGCAGGTCAGAAAAGTCCTGAACTTGTTAACAGAAGCAGAATAATTGTTAATCAGCTGTTTGTGATCATTGTGACAAATATGACCAATGACATCATCACCTTATGTGATGGATGATGTCATCTAAACACATCTACATTTGTAAAGTGTTGATGAGAAAACAAACAAACCTGAAAGTGAGAAATGTCACATTTATCTCATGAACATTTTCTTTGAATTTTCCAGGTAGAAACGATGGAGTCTGTTATTGAGCTGCTGCTGGAAGCTCTGGATGGTCTCAATGAGCCAGAGCTGCATGAGTTCAACTGGAGCCTGCGACAAATTCATCGCAAATATTACTCAGTCCTCTCATTGATGCGGTACATGAGGACAGACCTGCAGGACACAGTGTTTCTGATGGTGCAGACTTACGGCCAACAGTCAGTGGAGAACACCATGGAGGTCTTAAAGAAGATGAAGAGGACTGATCTGGCTCAGAGGCTGTCAGACTGCAGCTCACTGCCTCGAAGTAAGACAACAAAATCAAAACTCATTAAAGTCATAAAACTGTTTTCATGTCTCATAAACGTCTGACTAAAGTCTTCTTTGACTTTATAAATAATATTTGTAATAAAGACAAAAAAACACATCTTTAAAACATATTTTATGGCTGTTCTGGAAAAATCTACTTCAATAAATACATAAAAATGAGACCAGATTAAATCCAAATACTTTGTGAGGAGGAGTAAAAATGACTCCTTCATACTGTTTATTATTGCTGAGGAGGTTTCAGTGTAATTCTGCATATTGTCCATTTTTCCAAAGTCATATTTCCTGAATAATTGTCAGTTAGTTGTTAAATGTGTTTGTCATGAGTGACTTTGAGCACTTTTCTCCTCAGAGAAACACTCTGTGGATGAACGACGCTCTGCACTGATCCACAAAGTGAGTCATGTCACATCTCTGATTCAGTACAAGACAGCAGGCTGAAAGTCAGAGGACTAAAGTATCATCAGTTCTCATGTTGATCATTTTCTCATGATTTCTGCTGGATGTTTGTGACAAACTGAAGCTTCATTCAGTTTGACTTCTTCAGCAGTAATTTTCTGCAACACTAATGTCAGGATGTCTTTACCACTGAGGATGAGCTGAGGAAGTGTCAGCATGTACATTTGTCCTGACTCTTCAACAGGACAGAGAAATCTGAAAACATCAAACACTTTCAGATTAAACAGGAAACTTTATTCTACTTACAAATATTAATAAAGAATGAAAGATGATGTGAAATCAGGGAAAGATTCTTGATGGATATATTTCAGTTTTTATCTGCACAGTGAGAGAAGAACTGCAGCCTGTAAAGAAAAAGTATTCAAACCCATAAAAGTGGATCACAGTTTTATATTTTCTTCATTTTTTTCATAAACGTACCGCAACTAGTAAATAGATGCTTGTGTTTGGCTAAATAAATATGTGACCCCGTGATTGTGTTTATTGTTCCAGGTGGCAACAATGGCAGCTGTTAAACATCTGCTTTTAGAAACTTTGAATGATTTGAGTGATGAGGAGCTCAAGGAATTTAAAAGCCTCCTGCAGACGATCCTTCCTTGGAGGAATCTGTCATTCTTTCATAGACAGGTTGAGTCGTTATCAACCAGAGCAGATTAGTGAATCTGATGATGGATAACTTGGTCATCAGTCTGTGGAGGTGACCAGAGAAGTTTTCATGCACATGAACAGAACTGATCTGGTGCAGAAGTTACCAGAGAGCAGCTCAGCATCCAGAGGTAAGACCAACATGCATGAGTGTAAACTCTGTGTCATCAACAGGTTTTTGTGTTGCTGGTGTCATGGTGGTGCAGTGGTTAGCACTGTGTCCTCACAGCATGAAGGTTGTGTGTTTGAGCCTCCTGGTTGGCTGGAACCTTTCTGTGTGGAGTTTGCATGTTCTCCCTGTGCCTGCATGCTTTTCCTCAGAGTGCTCTGGTTTCCAGTCCAAACACATGCTTGTTGGCTTTATTGCTGGTTCTAAATTAAATGTGGGTGTGAAAGGTTGTCTGTCTGTTTAAAACCTGAGGTGGACAGGTGTACCCTCTCTCATTATCACAGCTGGGAACCCCCAGTTACTTTGGTTGGACAGGATGGAGGGTTTCTTTGTTGGGTTCTTATGTCATTTTATTTAGTTTCACATGATTTTCTCTTTTAAATCATCTGTGTCGTCTGAAGGCTGATTCTACTTGGATGTGTGATGATGTTTGAAT